CATACATACATACATACATACATACATACATACATACAGTAGATTCAAGTCCAATGAAATATTCTAAATGCTTTAAAAGGCGTGGTACAAAGTGGTTATTGGAGGTCGGAGAGAATAAAGAAAAAAACAGTCAGATTGAATGACAGCATGGTGGTTTGTGCTGCTTTTTACAGGACAAAAGTCAATGGTACACGAATCAGTTAACAGCAGAAACACAGCCTTACCCGAGTCTGATATTGAAGCGTATTCATTAGATATTTGCTCCAAACCTTTTCTTCTTATCTCACGTTTTCTACTCCTGCTTCTGTCACGACCATGTCGGTTTCTTTTCTCTTTTTCTTCCTCTTGTTCTTCTTGCTGAAGCTTACGTATCTTTTCTTCTAACTCTGCAGCTTTTTTAGCATTCTCATCATCCACATCTTGTTGGCTTATTTCCGGTTTTCCTTCCTCTTCCTCTTTCCATCTTTTTCTCTTCTCTTCTTTAGATATTTCCAGTAACTTTCTTTTTCTTTCTCTTTCAGTAGATAGTTCTCGGCTCTTTTTAATTTTTTGTTTTCTTTTTTCTTTTTCTTCTTCTTCTTGTAGTTTACGTATTTTCTCCTCCAGTTTTTTAAGGTCTTCCTTTCTTCTCTCTTTCTTTTGCAGTTCAACCTGTGTCATTTCAGTATTTTGCTCTTGATTCTCTTCCAAGTTAATGTCACTTGTTTTATCCATGTCACTCTTTGACTTGTTGTCGCTTTTCCTATCTACGTCACTTTTTGACTGGCTGTCACTTTTCATATCCGTGTTGCTCTTTGACTGGTTGTCGCTTTTCCTATCTACGTCACTCCTCGACTGACTGCCGCTTTTCTTATCCATATCACTCTTCGACTTATTGTCGCTTTCTTCTCCTTTAACATCCTTGTTAGGTTCTCCTATCAATTTCCTTGTAAGTGACGAAATCTCCTTTTTCAATTCACGTTTCTGTTTGTAGTAGGGATTATTTGCTATGTATTGCTATTAAAAAAAAAATAACATTGTGAATCTACACATTCATCAATATAACATGAAATTCAAAAAACAAAATTATAAATAACATATCAATAATCCCTGTCAGTGAGCAAGTCACAAAAAATACTCAAGAAATGTTTTAAACAAAACATCTCTGGGAGCGCTTGGATTTAATGATTGTTATGACCAAGTGAACACAATGATGAAGTGTTTGCATACCAACTTTGATAATAACTGCTCATTGTATGCCAAAAAAAAAAGAGAAAGTGAGAAGAAAACGGCTGCCAGTATGCCACCTTGATTGAATCTTAAAAAAAAAAAATATTCGCACACGCAAGCAAATATGTGTTGTCATTATACAAAGTCTGCTATTTTGTTAGGTCAACTTGATTTCAAAAATAAATTAATAAGCATCACAAGTTTTGTCAAATAAGAATATATGCAAAGTGAAAAAAACAAGTCATGCATGGCCCAGTCGCCGCTAGATATCGAATTCAAGATATATAGTTTTGTTTATAGTAATATAGTTGGAATATAAACATGTAAGGAATATGATTATGATTTTTTAACATTAAAATGATTGACATCTTGTATCTGATCGTCAAATGAGTACTTGTCCATATTGAGAGATATTGCTCTGGAACAGCATTAATTAAAACAAAATCAGCCATTTTGAATACATGTATATATCTATAACATGGTGTATAATGAATATATAAAATTTGAACATAATCAGTCAAAGCATGTCAGAGAAATTGCTTTAGAAGTGCATTCATTAAAACAAAATGGCCACCAGTCAGCCATTTTAAATTCGATCTGAAAAATAAAATGACGTGCATCAGGAACCCATAATGTCTAATGTATGTATGTACCAAGTTTGAAAAAAATCCATCCATAAACCATATTTGATGATTTATCAGCACAGAAATGACCACCATTTGGCCATTTTGAATTAGAACATGAAACAAATTGATGTGCATATGTATAATATTATGTATGATGTATGTGTAAAGTTTGAATGTAATTGGTTCAGGCATGTTGAAGATATAGGTCTGGACGCATACATGCATGCACACACACATAAGTCACACACATAAGTCCCCGTTTTCTGACTGCGTTTGAACGGGGACTAAAAATGGTCATAAGATCAAATGTCTTTGTGATTAAGTTTGTCAAAAAGTACAGAAAAGTACAATCTGATTAAAATCTGATGTAGTGTACGGGCTTTAATTATTTTGGCTATAAACTTATTTTAATTTTATGTTTTATTACTTTTGTTATTAATGCCTTTTTATTTTATTATTTTACTTTGATTTTGATTTTGTGATTTTTTTAAAATTCCGCCCTACATACATCTGAGCTGATGCCTATGTAACGAGATTTCAACGAGACCCACTGTCGACGATTTTAGTCAACGAATCACAGACCTTCTTCTATAGCGCACATGATGACGTCACTGGGCAGAGTCAGGTGGCAAACACACTCAAACATAAAATGGCGGATTATACCGACGTTAGGACCGAGAAGAACACGGCTTTTCGGTAAGTTTATCATTGTCAAATGCAACGAAAGTCATTTTTTTATGTTTATATTGTGGCTCGAATGGTTCGAGTTTAGATCGTTATTTTGCGTAGTTATTCTGGGAGTGACGATTTTGTTTCCACCGGTTCGACCGAACACCGGTGTTTTTTTC